CAACCCAAACCATTCTATGATTCTATAACAAACCAAAATTATTTTAAAAAAAAAAAACAAAAACACAAAAGGGTTTAGCAGGGGGAAGAGAGAGGGTACCTATGCCATTTTACCACCACAGAAAGAAAAACAATCACTCCACCATGACAGCAAAATAGCTCTAAAAGTATATGCTGATGGGACAACAATAGAATTGTGAAGAACACACATGGAGCCATCACTGACTTGAAGTCACCTGGTTTTCAAACAAAACGAGAAGCTGGTCTGAAAGCCAGTGTCCACTGTCTCACTCTTATTTGTGTTCTCCTGAATCCAGCACAGGGTGGAGGCTCCTCACTGTCTTCAGCCCAAGTAGGCAACACACTTCTTGTGCACAGACAGCAAAACAGGGGATAGGTACACCTTTTGCTTTACCAGAAAACTTAGGTACTATAGTGTAAAATCTATTTATCTAGCAAGACAACACAGCATGATGCCTGTGTGTTTATTCTGATCAGCATAACTGTGGTATTTAGATATAAAAAACTCATTATGAGCACAGGAACAATCAAAAGCAGCCTTCTTCCACCAAGTGGATGGGTGCCCCCTTCCCATGCTGTCCCAAGGGTGACCGTGCTGCACAGAGCTTCTGCCAGACAGCCAAGGGGAGGGCTGAGCCCTCTGTTTCCCAAAAATACACAACCAGGGCAGTGCAGGGAGACTGCCGTGGCAGGGACATGCCTCTTGATGCTGGCCCTGAGACCGGCTCTTTAGGTTGGTCCTTTGAGGCTGTTCCCTGAACCAGGTAACCCTCCAGTTACTATTATGTAAAATACCAAAAGCCTAAAAAGCAACCAGAAAAACATGCAACCCCTCCCTATTTTACTGAAAGCCGAGAGGTAATATTGTGTGTTATCCAACACAATGCAAAACTTTGCTGCTTTTAAGAGCGCACATTGAACTTCATTTGCCATTAGGAGACAGCATTTTGAGACACCAGTCCTCATCCAAAAATTTTTCTGAACAAGAGGTATTGGAAGCAAGCTTGGTTGACCGAGGAAACTGTCAGCGCACCACGACAATTTTGATATTGATTTAAGAAAGGAAGCGTTGGTCACCTCTAGTTCAGCTGTTTCTTGCTGCTTCCACAAGCTGTAATCAGACATGCTCTCTTCAATCTTCCAAACTCTCCCAAAGCCATAGCAAACATTGCAACTGCCAACAAGAAAGCCTGTCTCCATGAAATGTGTCTCCAATCCAGTGGCTACAGCAGTTCATCGGCATGCCCCACACAGCCCCTTCTCACAAACAGCTGGGGTCCACCTTGAGACTGTGCTTTCGGAGAGGATCTTCCTTTCAACACAAAGGTATGCAACATGCAAACAGCAGCTGACCCTGAAAAAAGTCCTGCGGGGCTGTGAAATGTAAAGCTTGGCTGCCAAGTGAACTTCTGATCCATAGACTGGATGAAATAAATGGATGAACGGTATTCCCAGCTCTAAGATAGTAGCTCTTTTGCTTTTTCTGGGTTTTATTGATTTTCTCCCAATTGTTACCAAGGCTAACATGCTTCACTTGTTTGTTAGTTCACATAAAGAAGACGGAACTTTTGCCATTTTCATTAATTTCTTGTCTTCCCATTCCTTTGCTTTAAAAAAATACTAATAACCTAGCTAAAAAATGTCTTTTTAGAAACAAAACCCCTTTAACTGCTCTCTTTTGGAAAACAAATTCTGATCCATGACAGACATTTCTTACTGATAATTCACATCTGTGAATACAAATTTTTTCTGATGAAATCACCAGGGAAACAGTATTCCAAAGTAGTAATATATTTTTGCACTTACACTTGCAATTCCCACATTTAGTTAATATTGAATGTTGAACCTGCAAGGCATTAATCAGAGTGAACAAACCAACTCATCTTACAAGACTGGTTCCCTGGGATATTCAGGCTTCTTCATCTTAACACCTCAACAGATGCTGAACTGGTATAAATCTCAATAGCTGTATTGACTGATTACCTCCTTGTGGCTCTGGCTTACGCTGGTCTTGTCCATCAGCCTTCAGTTTTCTTAATAATGTTAGTATTTTTGTAAGAATCTTATTAGCCTTTTTTCCATGGTGCACTCAAGATATTCTACACGATTAGTCACAGAAAGGTCTACTTCCCTGCAAGTAAGATCACTGGCAGCATCCAAAAGGATCTGTATAGTGCCTTGAAAAACCCACTTTTCTGGTAGGATTTCTGATTGCCAGCCCTTTTTAGTTTTTCAGCTGCGCATTCCCAGCAAATGGCAGGATCCAAAAAAAGTATTAGTTCTCTCTAAACCATCCTTACTCCCAGACAATTGATGATCAGGCACACAGAAGGTATTTACAGAAGTGGTTAATGAAACCTCCAGCAGACCATTGCAGAGAGCCCAAAAAGGGAAATGATACTGAAATACTCATCATGGGAAGTGGTACGTGAAAAGCGCACCAAAACCATGATCTGTTGGTCTGATAAAAACACACTACTGTGAAACAACAGACAAGAATGGGAAGAGATGTGGAAAATTCAGTTTTCTTCAGATGTCACAACTTTAACCATGAAACCCAATTTTCTTAATGCTCCATTCCCTACCCCGTCTTACTGAACTCCATACTGGAAGCAGAGCAGCAACAGAACAACAACAGAAAGACACAGCCAAGGTTTATCAAACTCTAAGCAAATTAGACTCATTTAATATTGGCTTTATACATTTTGGGCTATGAATCAAGTACGTTATTAAATAGCTTCTCAAAGGCTTGAGACTATTTTCTCTCCTACATTAATAGAGATACATCATGCAGCCCTTATTCCTTGGGAAATTAGTCCCTTGGACTGGATTGTCTGGCGCAGAAAGCACCGCGTGATGCCGCTGGTTAGGCAGTAAATTTAAAACTGTTCTGTTTATCTTGATTCAGAACTCCATTTATTTCTCATACACTTGTACACTTACCAGACCTCATTTCAATTCAGTGTTATTTGTGTATCTCAAACTTATCATTGAATTATGCCATTTCAGAACACAATAAAATATAATGGTGAAAATACAACTGCTCAGTTCCAAGAAGAACAGGGTAAAAAAAAATCAAAAAAAAACCCAAGGCTATCAACATAAATTTATCCAACACAGTATAAACTGGTTGCCTCAACTAATTAAAAAACATGAATTTAAACTGGAAAGTGCTGAACTGAAAAAGTAACATTAAAGCTCTCTGGTAGGACAAAAAAGCAAACACAGGACTGAATGCTTCAGCTGCTCAGTATGCCTTCGTTCTGCTTTGACGTAATTTCAAAAAGTCTAATAACTCTCAAGAAATGTAGCCTGACCTTCTTTTCCCCTTTCCCTGTTTCAAGTACTACTAAGCCAGTATGTTCAGCTCGGTTTAATGAAGGTGGAAACACTTGTTCAATTTAATGCTATAATTAGAAAGAGATGAAAAAATGGAAAGGTACAATGTGGAAACCAAATATACAAGAGCTCAGCAAGAATTTTCTTAGGAAGGTAAACTAGGTTTTCTAGCCTAATGTCATACCTAATGAGTTTAATGAGACTTCATCTTCATCTTGGAGAAAAAAACTCCTTAAAAAGTATTTAACATTTATTTTTTCCAGGAAAGTTCAAGGGTGCTATTCATTTTCAGCAGTTTTTGAAACCAAACTTAAATGAGTTTTAGGCATAAAACAAAAATCTGGGAGTCAAATTACACCACTCCACCCCCAATTTTCTTACATGTACTAAGCACTATTTTATCATTGAGTTGTCAAACATGAGGTAGAACTGAAAAACAGAATAAAAATGCCAGTAGATTTACTATCTGCTCCTCTCACCTTTCTAATGCTATGAATATGCCATTTTTAATTTTGTTACTTGCTAAAAATATGTTGCCTGGGTCTCCATTCTTGGGAGATGATACCAAGCCAGAGTTTGGATAGGAAGTAAAACAATTTTTTTCCATCACTGAAAGAAGCCTGAGTTAAAGGATTTGGCTTGTGTTTTGATAGCTTTCAAATAAGCAACCATTTTAAGAATGAATGTGAACAGCTCAACAGCACTTCATTGCAGCGATGTGCCACGTTGAACTATGTCTTACACAAAAATCAAAATACTAGCCTGTTCACTTGCCTTTCCATGTCAATTTAAAAGGTTGCAAGTGTGTTTGATTTGCGAAGGAGAAAGATCAGTACTGTTCCTGCCTTATAAACCAGTGTCACACAAACACATACAGAGTATTAAAATATATGACACTTGGTAAAACCAATAAGGAGTGGTTATAGAAACCCCCACAAAAATGGTAAAAAGAAAAAAAAAAAATCAACATCTGGGCTTTCATGAAAAATAGGTAAAAACCCAAACCAGCCTAACATAATCCTTCTGTCTTCATCTAACCCACCTAAGAAAGATCTGTCCCCTTCCCCCAACCTTTTTAGGCTACTTAACATCAAGCAAAAAGAATAAAAAACAAATGATAAATGAATTGCAATATATAAGACATCTAGTATCAAATCATCTCCTTTAAACTTTCACAATTCAATCGAAAGGCGTTTACCTGCCAGAGTGCGTTCCTATCGCAACCACTGCTCCACTGGGATGGAAATCAGCACAGTGCCCAGGTTCCTGCATGGAGAGGCACAGACAGGTCATTCACCCGCACACTTCCTTCGGTCAAACACCTCTCCTTGTACCAAAGCTACTCTAAAAGCCTGAGGTGAGCTGACACGGTGAAAAACTAATTAGCTAGCAGCATGTTTACCATGCTCAAATGGATTTTCTTTTAATGTATCAGTGAGAAGGATTACATGACCTTCCTGCAAGTAAAAAGCTTAAATTTCTCTGTAAAAAGATACTTTTGGTTGGCTGTTAGGACAGAATTGGCCAAAATATGAAATGACCAATGACAGTAAGGAAGGACTTCCAAAGCCAAACCTTGCACATTTGTATGACATCCTCTTTGTACTGTCTGAATAATTGGAAAAAAAGTTAAAACTGTAAGAAGAACAAAGGATGTTGAGTTTTATTTGACTTGGATTGTTAGAATGGCATCAGACAATGGTAACCAGATTACAGTCTATACAGTGTCTGATGATCCTGGTTAAGTTTATCAAAGCTTCCAAATAGTTTTTTTTAATGCCATAACTACAGTATTTTTGCTTCTCTTGCAATCACACGGAATGAAATATTAATGCTTTTTCCTATTTTCCAACTTCATATTTAATATTAAAGGCTTGACATACATCTAGCAGCCTGGTCCATTCCAGTGTGTGGTCCACAGAGTTCCACATACAGACTTGCCTATCTTGAGCACATGTTAAAAATAAGTCTTTGAAAGGATGGGATGCCAGTCCCCAGAGTTCATCCGTATGTCCCTGGAAAGAAAACACACACGATTTAACAATGAATAAAATAAAGACTCTCCTAAAGTAACACACCAGCAGAGAAACTCTCTACATTTTTGAGTTTAAAAAAAAAAGTTGTGCTCACCTGTACCTCTACTAGGAAACCATCATTAAATGTTCCCCGCAAAACAAAGTTTCGTGAAGTACCCACTAAAAATTGATCTGCTTTTCCTTCTGCTACTGCTCTGATTGTTCCATACTGGTCAGGAACCTAGGAAAAGAAACATCTGTAAAGCCACATCATGCATCTTAATATGGGCTTATCTTTGAAGGCCACAAATAGTGAACAATGACAGTACCAGAACTGCAGTCTTGCCAGTAAAAATAATGTAATCACGTATACATTAGATCAAGACTTGACCTGAAGCCTACCTTATTTATTCGTTCAGTACAGGCATATAGAAGAGAATGTTATTCCAAAATGATCACAATTATGCCATTTTAACAAGTCTCAGTAGAAAAAGTGTCAAGTACACTAAACAAATGCACTCCACATCCTCACATCTCATCATATAAGTATAGGAATACTACATAGATACTTTTCAAAAAAATCTTGTAGCACACAGGAAATGTTTCCTGATTTTCTTAATGCTTCCTAATTAACCTTAAGTAAATGTTCATATGCCTTATGTCAACAATGACTCTGAATTTTATTGAGTTTGTTTACTGCATGCTTGGATTTTAATACACTGCTTCATTTTACAGTGTGCATTTGTTTGGTTTTCTAAATGATTTATCTTTAGAAAATACACTAACTTTAATATTAGCCACACAAGATAGAAAAGCCATACAATCATTCAGAAAGTTGTGTGTCGGGGTTCTGGTAATATTTCTTAACATAAAAAAAAATTTGCTTTAACATAACATTATTAACAAAAGGAAAACAGAGACACTGATATGAATAGAGTGTGTTACTCAAGTCTAAGAGTTGTATATGACAGTCAATGCTTGCTTACTATCAGCCATGCTTTCTAAAGGTCACTATTAAATTCAAGGTAATAACAAATTCTAGATGGAACTAAACATATATGTTAAGGAAAAAATGCTGCTATGAATGGAGTTGCTGCTGGCAAGTGGAGTAAACCATTACTAGCACAACTGTTTAAGAAGAATACATTATTTCAAGACATCATCTTATTGTCAGGGGAAAAAAAAAAAAGTATTTTAAAATTTGTAATGTACAATTTTTTCCCAGTTCATCCTCATTTACCTGGTATTGCCATGTAACCAAATTAGAGACACACATATTCACTAACCACCTGTTTTATGTTAAGGTCAAAAGAAGTTCCTGAATATATTATATTCTCTTATATTCTTGCAGAGTACCCATATGGATCCTACCTATTATTTGTCTTATGCCAAAAATTCTATAAAAACCGCTCAAATCCTGGTAACATTGTCTTTCTCCAGACAGGCGAACTTAACAAAAACACTGGTGATACTAAAGAATAACCCCCAAAAATGGATGAATAAAAGAAACTAAGGAAGGGGTTGGAGGAAAGAAAAACCTTACCATTTCTATTCACTTTAACAGAAGAGGACTGAAGCCTGAGATAGGCTCATTTATAGGCTGAAAATTGATACACTTTTATGATAAAACACTATTATCCACTTAGACAGCAATCAGAAGATATTCTGGCATCCTAACTACCGATTCTCCAAAGGCTGGGGAGGGCTCCATCTTGCTAGTCAATACCTTGCTCAAGGCAAATTTCCTTATCACTCTTGCCTTCTTACCTCAATTTCCCTTTCAGGATTCAAATCATGATCCCACAAGATGATCTTTCGGTCTTTCCCACCTCCAGTTAGCAGCATCCCATTCCTCATTTGACAGAGCGTGAACACACTGCCATCGTGAGCTTTGATTTGTCTGCTTATCTGATATACTCCTACATGCATAAAAAGAAAATAATAAAGAACACTACTCATTTTTTCACCTGGGGTTTACAAGAAGCTGTGCCTTTTGGCAGAAGGCTAAAGCAACAGCGTATAATAAATAATTACATTTGGACTGTCAGGCTATTAGTATTGCGTCAGTATTGCAGACACAAGGTGGTAGTGTTTTCTTACAGGATAAAAAGATAAAACAAAGGGCCTGCCTTTTTTCTGAACACAAACTTTTTTGAGATCGATTGTCCTACAACTTGTGAAGGTAGGAACAATATGTATTTGCAAAATGCTTTCATTTCTCTGCTATCCAAGGGAACACCTTTTTTCCAAATGCAAGAGAAACTGTCCTTTAGAGTCAATAAATATTTAGCAAGTCGTTATTAGAAAAGAATTAAAGACATTTTATTAAAAGAAACTCAAAGACTTGTTGTCTATAGTCTTATGGGAATAAAAAGCAAATTATTTATAGCAAAGTTTCCAGGGTGCATGACCTTAATGTCTAATGCTGGATGTTGCCTCATTTAAAAATAGTATAAACCAGCATTTGGCATCTATCAATACAGCAGTCTACCCAAAGGAAAACACTAGGAAGAATGAAAGAGAGATGAGAAAATTAAACAACAAAGGCAGCAAAGGAAGCCTTTTGCATCTTAATCGGGTCTTCATGTCAAATGAATTGCTGTAGGATGTTATTTTTTTAAAAAAATCAAGCTTCTGGTGCTTTGAGACTTGCATATTTTAAAATAGCAATCACAGAAAAAGCCTAAAACACCATCCAAATAAATACCAGCTTAACTTCACTGACTGCCTATGGCTCAAGTCAGTTCAAGTTAGCGTGCTCTCACACTGTGAAAAGGAGTCTGAGATCAAGTCTTGTGACCAATCAAATGTGATAAACAAACTAAAAGATCCCATGTTTAATTAAGCCACTGCAAATAAATGTTCTATTTTATATCTTTTAAGATTATACTGGGAAAAGGTTATTTATGCACAAGAACTTCAAAATTAAACATCAGAATATTTGTTAAATTACTTTTCCGTTGCAGTTATCTTGAAAGAGAAGAAAAAGATTTACCTAGAAGAACAGAATTACTGTTAAAAATTTACTTTTTACATGAATGTTTTCCTGGCATACCGATTTAAACCAGAGTGTTTGAAATAGCTGCCAAGTAAAATAAATTATCCTTGAATTTATAAGTTACCTTAGGGCTCAACTGTGCCAGGTCTGCATATGTTGGGTAACAAATCATTTTCCTTTCTTTTTTACAAAAGCTTTGCCCTAAAGAGTAAGTTTAACTCAAACTTCAAATAAGATGGCTTTTAAAGGATATTTTACAGCCAAGACCGGAGTATCTGCTAAACCAGATACTGTTATTTGCATAACTGGTACAAATACGCATAGTATTTTTCCTTCACATACAACTCCTATTAACATCAGCCTCAACGCTTAATGGTATTCCTCTGAGACTAAGCACGGTACAACATAAGCCTTAAGAGGCAAACGCAGCCTAAAGAATCCTCAAACTGATCCTACAGCCTTTTTCAAATCACAGCATGAAAAGAAAGCTGATTAACTGCACATTTTTTAAATGCAAAACGTTTATCTAAAAGTAGTTTTCAGTCACTTCGGGCAGTCTCATTAACTATTGAGAAACTCTAGACTGCTATTAAGTCAGCAAATTCATGAGACTTGAAAGAGTTTAGTACCACCTGCTAGTAATAGAAAGTGCACGCCCTTAGTCAAGCCTCTTCCTTTTCTAATGCAATCCTTTACGTTTGTCTTCTACAGACTATCTAGAATCTGTGATTAACTGTGAACGTATCCTACCTTTAGGTCCTTTTCCTGGAGTAGCTTCTACAGTAGTTTTGCCCCATATAAGTATTATCCCACCAGAGTCTCCAGTGAGCACATCACCATTGCCCAAAAAAGCCAAACACTGAACAAATTTAGGTTTTTCGTATTTCTGAAACAAAATAAGCAAAAGGAAGTGGTAATTGCTTGTACTGTTTACGTAATTAGTATCATGTATCCACACCCAAACACCCTGCGTACATGTAAGCAGAACTTAAACTTTTTTGTTTGTTTACCTCTCTGCTCAAACAGTATGTGGTAACGATGGAGCAAATTTATAGAAAGCATGAGCAGATCATACCATTGATTTAAAACTGACGTGATATCAAGACATTCTTACCCCAAATATCCCTTGCTTCCTTGATAACGAATTGCCACTCCAGGTCCAGAAAAATATATGAGATTTGCCACATGTTATTATGGTATTTGCATCAGTTGGATGGAATTCTACAGCAAGAACAACTTCATTTGTAGTCTGAAATAATAACAGAAATAATATTTATTCCGATGGGACATTAACTACTAGAAAAACATGTAAAATCCCAGGTTTCAGAACAGAGATATGAGGAATTAGACAGCTCATTGTATGCTTGAAAGAATCTGTAAGTGTTCCATGCTAAATCAACTGTCTGAATGCTCGCACATGTCATTTTGTATATATAAATATATATACTGGTATTTTACATTCATAAGAGAACTTTATAAAGAACTTCAGTAGAAAAGTCAGGATTTTACATTCACTTTTTAAATCACAAAAGCTTCTGCCCTCTGGAATAGCTAAGACTTCTGCCATGGAAAGTGAATGATGTATAAAAGACACTTTTTTGGGTTGAAAACCCTGCTTAGTTTTTACACAGACTAGTTTGCTATTCTGGACAACAAAGCTGTGACAGAGGCAAGCAAGACAATGGTAACAGTAGGATTATATTCATAATTCTCTTTCTGAAATTGTATAAAAATTCCTTTGGGTTCTTTCTTCCTCTCCTTTCTTCCTCACAAAGAAGAAAAAAAGAAGCCTGCGTAACTCAAAACTGAAACATAGGGTCCCACCTTTGTATTTTTACTGGCTGCATACTGAATTACTAATACCTCAGTGAGTATTTCATCCTTTACCACCAATAGATTTTACAAACATAACAAACTGACTGGTTGTTTATCCAACTTCTAATGTATATTCAACCAAACTGTCTTTGAAGACAATCTCCTGGAGGCAATGACTCTACAAAACACTTAAGTAAATGCAGCAATGCATTTACTTCTCTGAGATTTAAGCCCATGCTTTAAAGGAGCATACATAAAAGTGCTGCTGAATCAG